GTGAGTTCATTGTCAAAGTTTATATAGTCAGGTGTTATGACCACAGTGTAGCCATCCTATGATGCCTGCACCCAGCAGCATAACCTTGGTGAATCTAAGCCACACAGAGCTAACGCAGTCCTGGCAACAGGCGGTTCAACTCAGCACTAGTGAGGTGTACCTAACAAAGCGGTCAGTAAGTGTAGACTACCCCAGCAGCCTGTTGTTATTTCCATCCTGAAAAACTAATTTCTTCATATTAATAGTTTGCAGTATTCTATAGGTGTAATAATCCCTATACGAAGTTCAGTCAGATATTCCAGTCAGGTATGAAGTTTATAAGTTGCCCAGTGCAGCATCCTGTTTAGTTATTTTGTAATTAAGTAATGATGTGGATTGCAGTTGTGTGGAAAGAAGTTGTGTTGAAATTGCAACAAAAACACTAAAAATTAAAGATGCGTATTTCTCTGAAACCCCTCATTAGCAGTTCACACCACAATAATGGTTTTGTGTTCCAGTTGGCAAAATAGAAAGGGACAGGTGTTCATAAGCTCCAGGGATATTTTTTATTTTGACAGCATGAACTACATGCCTAAAATATAAACTCGGTTATGTGTGTGCATGTGTGTGTCTGTGTGTATGCGTAGCCTATGGTGAAGAGGATCTACCACATGTGGGATCATCCTGTCAGTTCTGCCTCAATCTCCAGAGATTATGTCAAGACTCTGCTGGAGAAACAGAACAAAAATAAGGTAACACAGAAGAGTGTATCACACATGCCAACTTTCATACACACCCTAATCTCACAGACATTTTTAGAAAGTTATTCAGGCATTTAAAAAACAGAAAACTGAGAGAAATGTTTGCACTGGAATGTGCTATCATTTGATTTTGATAATAGATGCATTATTTTTAAATCCTCCAAAAATGGGAATATATAACCATACCAGCTATGTAAGGATGTTGTTTTATGCTTCAAAGCGAATGTGCTAACAGGGTGGTGTTGACCTTTACTTTATGGAAATACCATCGATTTTGTGGGTTTTTGAACATAAATATAGACTCATGCTAAGGGTCAGTAGGGAGAAGTTGAATTCTGTTTAATTTTATGTAGCTTTGGGCTAATTTTGCAGCCGCAGAACCTCGGTACCTTGTAGCCACTGATTGAACTACGAATCCTCTGTATACCAAAGTGTTCTAGAGTCCAGTTTGGACTAAGCTTTAGCTTTATGCAATGGAGCAGTGATCACAAGCACACAAGCGCAAATCTACAAGTGTTGCCGTTGCTCAGTCAAAGATCAGGCCTCACTCAGATTGAAATGCTGTGGTTGGACCTTAAGAGAGCTGTGCATGAATGGATGCCCATAAACCTCCATGAACTGAAGCAACACTGGAACAATAAACAATGGCATGTTGTCAGTCATCTGAGGTTGTTTTTACCGCCTCCTGTCTAAAACCTTAGAACTGAGAGAGGTGTACTTCCTTTTCACCATGACTGTATGTTCTTAATCAGTAGTTTTTAGTGTTCTCAATGTTTTCAATGCTTAAGGCATGGTCTTTTCAATTATAAACCCTCACTGAACAGGCATTTAGAGCGTCTATAGGTTATCTTTCAGACCCACAGGTCTATTTATGGTTATATTAATCAAATAATTATACAGAAAAATATGCTTTTTCTCATTTTTAAAAATAAACTACTACCAGAAAGTTTTATTTTTTTGGTTTATTTGTTTCTGCACAGACATAAAATAAAGACATTATTACTGAACATGTTAAAGCAGTCACCCACTGATTTAGTCAGATGTGATGCTATCGCCAAGTCTCAGTCAGCTAATTGGCTCACAGAGAAGGCGTGGAGAGCCTGTGACATTTGGTGCAGCGATAGTCTGTTGGTGCCTTAAAAGTTAAACTGCAGCCAAGTTTATCTTAGAGAAGAGCTAAGGTGACTCAGTTTCTGGATTTGCGGCAGATTTGTCTGACTGTTTTCTCAAAAAAAAAAAAAGGCATAAAAAAACCCTGAAGTTGTGCTTTTTATTTTCCTTCCTCCTTAGGGACTTGCATTCACGGGCACAGACAAGCCTGGCTTCAGACCTGAGTTTGTGCCTCTTACCTACCTGGCAAAAATACTCTCTGATATAGAGGAAGAAGGTATTGTGTGTGTGTGTGTGTGTGTGCGCTTTTGTGTTTAGATAGAGGCCTTTCGAGGATTAAGACAGAATGTGTGTGCATGTGTGCGTGCATGCCTGGCCAGAAAGCAACTCTGTACCACAAAGTCTGCTGTTCTGTTTTCTATAAGAATCTCTGTCTCTTTCTGACTCCGAGCAGCTCCGAACCCCTTCGAGGAGCAGGAGAACGTCGACGCCAGGTTTGTGGAGGAGACGGCTCTGAAACAGACGCTAATTCTGCTGGGTTTCGAGAGAAAATGATAAACGCGCAGAGGTGGAGAGGGACGCGGGGCGGATGGATTGAGAGGGAAAGAGATGGGGAGGAAAATGTGTTTGAGAGACCAGTCATCATCGAAGGGGCCTCGAGGACAAGTAACGGATGGATGGATGATGGAAGGAGGGAGGGCGAGAGATGAAAAATGAGCGGCGGGATTGAAAGGCAGAGGCGTAGACATAAACAAGTTCTCACTGTGAGATGATGAATTAGGGTGGGACGGAGGGGTAGATGGATGGAGATGCTCAGAATAGGAGGCAGAGTCATCACCCCAGTTTTCCCACCTGCTTTTCAGGAAAGAGCTGAGATGGGTTGCGATGTGCGAGGAACAGCTGCAACTTTACGCAAACCAAACAAATTGTTGGCAACAGCAGAAATTAGAATACAATAACCAACATGGGTACACCTTCACTTACGGTTTAATTAAACTTTGGGAAACTTTTTTTTTTTTTTGAAATCGAAAACTGCAGGCAGTTATTTGCATCGTCTCCTCAGCTTCTCTTCTTGCTTTGATAGAATTTATGAACATTGATGTCAAATGCTGTGAATGGTAATTATAAATCACTTGTTTAACTTGCCGGGCTTCCTGTAATGCTGCTGCACCCCATCAACTTGATTATATGCTGACAAAAGCTTTGATGGTTGTGGTTTGATGTGGTCAGTTGCTCTGGTTTTAAAGTGGACCTATTATGCTTTTCCTTATTGTCTGGCATGCATGTGCTGTTACAGTGGTGGATGCTCACATCAAACATGGCTGGAGTTTCGAATGATTGAGTCAGCATATGTGCAAGTTCTCTGTAAGCGCCAAAAGCTCAGACAGTTTCCAAGTTCAAATTCAGAATTCAGAATTTCAAATACAACTTACAAAAGAAAATTAACAGAACTTTTTAAGCACTGTGATTGGCTATTCTTTGTATAAATGCAGTTCTCTTTCAAGCGTCATTCAGTATCTCCCTATGGGAAGCGCCCTCTGCTGTCACCATCATGTAAGCTCCACTATTACCATGCACAGCCCAATCACTTCAAAGAGACTGGGCCCCCACTAACCCCCTTTATAAGAGCCCCTGGCCCCACACCAGGACTTCCCGCTTTCTGCCCTGTGGGGCAGGGATAGCTCATTAGGTAGGGTGGTGGCCCCTGAGCAAGTTACCGTCCCTACACACCACACTGCTCCCCGGGCGCCCAATGGCTGCCCATTGCTTCACTGAGCGAATGGGTTAAATGCAGAAAGGAATTTCCCCACGGGGATCAACAAAGTATACATTATTAAAGATCACTAGAACTCAGCCATCAGAGTAGTTTGCGAACATAGGTTTAGCCCCACCCATCTGCTGTTCAAACCTTTTGTGTACATGGAGCAGCCAATCGAAAGAGCTTCTTAAAGGCCCACTATAAGGAATTATTATTGTTCAGAACTGTGACTCATCCCAAATTCAAGAATATAATATAAAATATGAGGCTGGAAATGAGCATAATAGGTCCCCTTAAATGCTGATTTATGCAGAATGATTTGTCTCTCTGACACCACAACTACATATCTATATGTTCATTGTTTGTAACACTTAATAGCTCCTGTTACCAAACCAAAATAAAGAGAACACAAAATCACTCCATAACAGGCAGTAAGAGTCTGCCTCCACACACGTGTTCAGATGCGTGCTTTGAAAAATTGTGCTGTAAATGTTCCTAATCCTTTCAGTGCTTGGATGTTTGCACCCTGTGCATCATCCAGCACTGAATTCCACAGATTATTTACATGTTGTGTTTTGATTGCAAAACCAGTGCTCTGGAAGAAGGGATCTCTCAATCGCTCATGTTTACACCGAAATGTAAATAAATGTTTTGTTTTTTTTAAATGGTGGGGGTTTTTTTCTCTTTTTTTGCCTCACTTTTAAAGAACATGGCAGAGACACAAGCTTTGATCTGTGTACTGCTTCCCAATAAATTTTGATGACAGGATGAACTTAGCACTTTTGGAGCGCGGGGATAAATTAGGAAAAGACGTCTGCTTTCAGTGACATAATTTGTAGCGTGAAAGGCTCTGTGGAAGTGAGCTCTGATTCTCGAGAATGTCTGAGTGTTTTGGACAGGCTCAGCAGACCTCCAGTAAAGTCAGGAAATAATCTCAGCGTCAGTCATCACACGCGCTGACTCACATTTAATCAGGAACACACCCGTCAAGCTTTTTCCCCCCTTTTTCGTTACATAACCCACAATGTTTCATTAGCAGCTTTCAGCTTCATCACTTTTGCTGCTTCACCTTCAGTCCTTTCTCCTGTGGGCATTTCCTCTTTTAAATGTGATCACTCCTCACCTGATTGCCCCTATCGCACTCTGTTATGCAGTCAGTGTTATGTAGGCAGCTAACAGTTTGGGGCTAAGTTAATCTGACAGCCCTCAGCATCAGCATGCGATGGATGATCACACACACATCACATCAGCAGGTCACCTCCTTCGGAAGTTGACTCACGCAGAGTGTTGCGCAAAGCTGGTTTATGCCAGTCATTTCCTGTCAAATGAGCTCAAGTTCCTCAAAATTACTTGTTTAGCATTTTTTTAAGCTTTTATACTGACAGTAGGGAACAGGTGGAAGAGACACTGGACAGGTGGAGGCATGAACTGGAGAGATGAGGAATGAAAGTCAGTATACAGTAAGTGTGTGACTGAGAGGGACACTGGTGTAACAGTGAAGATTTGTGGGGGAGAAGTAGTGAAAGCAGGGAAGTTGAAATACCTGGTGTCAAACATCAAAAGCAACAGAGAGTCCAAAAGAGCTGAAGAAGACAGTGCAGGCAGGGGGAATGGGTGGAAAAAGGTGTGACAGCAGGACAGGAGATGAAGCGAAAGGGAAGGTCTGCAAGATGGTTGTGAGACCTGCTGTGATGTATAGTTTTGAGAGGGTGGTGCTGATGAGCTGGAGGTGTAAGAAGATGCTAAGATTTTCACAGGTAGTGACCACAGTGGACAAGATTAGAAATGAGTACATCAGAAGGACAGCTCATATTGAACGCTTATGACAAAGTCAGAAAGGCAAGGTTGAGATGATTTGGAGATGGCTGGAGGGGAGAGTAGATATATTGGGCAAAGTATGTTGAAGATGGGGCTTCCAGGCAGGAGGAAAAAAATTCATGGGACGTCGTGAAGGAGGGCATGCGGAGGGTTGGTGTGACACAGGAGGATGCTAGGGATATGTAGATCAGCAGTCCCCAACCCCCGGGCCATGGACTGGTCCATGAGTCATCTGGTACTGGGTGGCGAGAGTTGAGGCTCGGGTGTGAAATTTATGGTTTTCAGGGTTTTTATTGTTTTTTATCATTATTTTTTAAATTGTTTTCGCTAACTTGGTTTCGCTGGGTCTTTTCCCATGTGTTATGAATAAATCTTTTTGTTTCTGTTACTGGTTTTATTTTGTTGTATTTATCCATGACACCTTAAAGGCCGGTCCGTGAAAACATTGTTGAACATAAACCGGTCCGTGGCGCAAAAAAGGTTGGGGACCGCTGATGTAGACGATCCTCTTTGCTGACCCCTAAAGGGAGCAACTGGAAGAAGCGTTCCAGCAGTGGTACTCAGGTAGGCTGGGGCAAATAAACAGTGCTCAGTTGGTTCTAAGGATCCCAAAGTGTTCTATTTTTTAACAGTCTTTTATTTACAATTTTGGTGAGCCCATGAGTAGCTCTTCTTAGCTGACAGGAGTGGCGCCCAGTGCGGTCTTCTGCTGCTACAAGATGCTCTTCTGCACAACAATCTGTCCATTTTTCCTCTGACCCTCCAGCATCAACAAGGCATTTTGCCCATTTTTGGACAACTCTCTGTAAACCCTGGAGATGGCTTGTGTGGGTAAATCCCAGACGATCAGCAGTTTCTGAAATACTCAGACCAGTCCGTCTGGCACCAGCAACCAATTTAGACCCTTTCAGGGCAGTCACATGCTTACAATCTGCAAAACAGAACTGCTTTAATCTCAAACTAAGATCGAAAAAAGCTTCTAGTAACTTTTTAGTTTCAAAGGCAGTTGACTATGTTTTCGATCACTAGTCACCAACTCTCCACCCAATTTAGATCCCCCTCTCTTATCCCCTTGACTCTCCTCTGCTGCCTTCCCCCTTCATTTAAATTCTCCTCTCTCTTTGTCATTCCCTATGCTCTTTCAGTGCTTGAGCTTCCTCACCGTATTTACATTTATCATTTCAGGCATTAAAGGAGACACTCCCAGCCTTGCATAGAGCTTAAACCAATTGCAATTTATTCGGAGATTACAAGCATGAGGGATGAAACAACAAGAGTGAAGAATACCTAGAAATATTCCAGTGGCCCTGAGAAAGGAATTTATCTTCTAGAGAAAGGTGGTAAAAGTGTGATGATGCTTTTGCTAGATGGAGAAAAGAATACAGAAATACATTACTGAGTCTCCTTGTACTCCCTTCGACTCTCTTTTACTTTTTAGCTTTACTGTAAACAACCAAGTGCCAGTAAGGGAACCAAAATTACAACCAGATGCAGACCACAAGAACAAGCTCAGAGCAGCCAGCACACAGACATGCACATGTTAGTGAGAGCAGGAAGAAGGAGTGTGGAAATAAATAACACAAATCAATGAAACACATGTTCTTTTAGTGTGTGTGTGTGCCTGAAGTACGCCAATAAATACAGAACAGTCATATGGTTCAATATGTCGTCCTTGTCCACAGACATGTCTTCTATATTTCTATGGATTTGAGCTCAGGTTTGCGAAAGTGTCTCATGTTGGCCCCTGGTTGGGAGGGTTTGAAGGGGGCCTGGGCTCCATAGGGTTTGGGCAGAGGCAGCCGAGCGTTCAGCGGGATGTACGCGTTGGGACGTGCTTCGGCTGTGGTGTACTCTCCATTAGGTAACTGCCTCCACTCCTTTTCAGCAAGCTGCACACACACACACACACACACACACGCAAGAATGTACCAGAAGCAGTTTTAATATTTGATGTAAGATTGCTTGACCTTGGAGTAAATACTTCAATTTCAAATTATCCTGAATTTTAATCAAGTAAATGGAATAATCAGTTCTGCATTTTTTTTTTCTATATCTCAGCATGAATGCAAAAGCAAAGATGAACAGTCGAGTGCATGAGCTTGGGACAACAAAGCTGATTAAAAGTTTAATTTGTGTTTTTTTTCCTCCTGTTTTTCTTCATATTATACCTCCAGTGACTGAAAACGCACACGACGTGTGCAGAATTTCATATTTTGGATTAAATCCTGAGAACAGCAGCACTTGCAATTATTACATTTTAAAATTTTTTTTTTTTACTCATTATATTATGATTTATTCTATTTTTTAAACAAAAAAAATATCAAGAAAAAAACAGCCCACATTTCTGGTTATTAATAAGGTTGACAGCCTCATAATATACTGAGTGCACGTTCCTGTGAACTTTTTCTCAAATGACGAAAACCAAAAGGAATGTTATGTAACTGAAAAGAACAAAGCAAGGCCTGCCTGTTTGAGAATAAAAGTGGTCATGCTGACTAAAGTACAGTCATTTTGGTTTGCTCAATTTCATCTTAAATCAGATACTACAGCTGACATGAGGCAATCTGTGCACCCTGGCACACAGTGTGTGAACCAAACCATGGATTTAGGGGAAGTCACTTTGATATACAAGCTATTAACAACTTCCTTTACCTCTCCTTTAATCATATTTATAACAGTAGGTATAATAAAAAGAAAAAGGAATAGCTGCCGATGTTGCTTGTTGTGCATCTTGGAGCTCTGACGTGTGGAGAGCAGTGAGGAATTTAGACCAGTTTACCTACCTTCCTATAAAAATATGCCACCCTTACTTCTTATCAAACACCCTTATCAAAGCAGCATTTTTTCTTCCAAAAGTCTTGAGCCAATCATCATTTCTTTGCATTTTTTCTTGTAACTTTTTCTTTTTAAAGCAGCCTTAAGTAACAGTTCTCCACACTTTCAAAGTTATGCCAAAAACTGTTTAAATCCCCAATGTGTTTGGAGAAGGGCAGGAGAGAGGTCATCCGTAAAGCACAGCGGAGGCTCTGTTATGGTTTGGGGCTGCATTTCAGCCAGTGGCGTCGGGGGTCTTGGTGAAATCAGGTGAAAGCAGATCAGTACAGTCGTACTGTGATTCACCATGCAATATGATCTGGAAAGCATCTGATTAGCTAGTTTCATTTTTCCATTTTGAAAATGATTGCAAACACGCTGGATACATACCTACATAAAAACACTATCAGTCATGCATTGGCATCCGCAGAGCCCGGACCTCAACATTACCTCATTACCTAAACATAGCCCCGAATGTCCTTCAAGAAGCCTGGAGAACTATTCCTGAAGACTACTTAAAGAAAAGACAAGAAAGCTGCCTAAGAGGGTTCAGACACTTTTTAATAAATCGCTGCACCTTCTTCCCATTTTCCCAACAAAACATAAAGAAATGAGAGTTGGCTTAGTTTAGGTATAGTACTGTGTTCACCCCATAGTACTTCTATCAGTAAATGCAGATTGGTAAAACAACAAATTGTGCAAATGCTTGTGCATATTTTTGGAGCTATTTCCTTTAAAGCTGCTTACATTTTACATATCACGAGCTTTTGGGGGTCTGCTGCTTCGCTCAAGGACACTTGGACAGATTTATTTCTCTCTTTTTTTTTGTGAGGGGGGAGGATTTACGGTGCATGCTGTGACTGTTTATCACCACACAGCTACTTACTGTTTTCTTGTTACTGTGACCTTATTAGCTAAACAGAAAAAAGCACAAAAAGTTACATTTTTATATATGGGTCTGTGTGCAGATTAAACAACAAGATTTAATGTGTTATTAGTGAGCCTCAGATAACTCCCTGGGACAGACCCAGGCTGTTTGCCTGTACTGTTAATATTCAACAGCCTCCTGCTCGAGTTAATGACACATGACCTTAAAAGTTTTTTGCATACTGTGTTAAAAACTAGCACCAGGATGAAGTCACTGAAACTGTTAAGAGGCTGACAAAATTGATTTGATCCTATTGTGGCTGATGGGTATATTTGTAACGATGGTGAGCTCCTGCTGAGAAAAAAAGGTTCAAGTGAACACGCATCCTCACGACACTCCAGTCCTCTCTTTGACTTTCACCACACCACAGCATGCAAATTAACCGTGCCTAAATCTCACGGACACTTCAAAGAGATGGCGATTTTCTCATGCATAAAGTTTATCCGCTGGCGTGTGATCTGAGGAGGGCGCACAAAGCGAGAAATAATGGCTCTGACCGCGAAAAACATATCAGAAACTGCCAAAAAATAAACAAGAAGAAATATCTGCAGACATTTTAAGAAGTTTAAAATGCAAAACTAACAATGACATCCTTCCAAAATTCTTCAGATACATTCTAATGTTTCCACATCTGCAGGTTCCTTGCTGTTACTTGTTTTGGCTATGTGCTTGCAATTTACTGTGGTGTCCTTTTTGATCAGTAGCTATTATAAAAAATGGGAGAAAACAAATGGCTGCAGGCAGCTGGACTGGTTTCAGACAGCTGATCTGTGTATGTGCTCCTTCTTTGTGTAGACAGCCGCTAGTTTTGTTTGTCACCCGTTCAACCTGTCATTTCCTGGTTTTTTT